TTAGCGTCCTTCCTTTCTAGCAAGGCAGGCTAATGTTAGCATACTTCCTTTCTAGCAAGGCAGGCTAATGTTAGCATACTTCCTTTCTAGCAAGGCAGGCTAATGTTAGCATACTTCCTTCCTAACAAGGCAGGCTAATGTTAGCATCCTTCCTTCCAGGATTGATGTTATTCAAGAAAGAGGAGTATAAACGCAGTTATTGGACTTTTCTGGTTTGAACTTAGAACAAAAAAATGCCTGTTTGAGATAATCCATGTTTCTACATTAAGAGACTTTTAAAATAATCTTTATTCCGTTTTCGATAAAAACCTAATAAATTTGAGTAAAAAACTTGAATGCTTTTCTAAAATGAGATCTATTAAATCATCCACTAATACAGGACGCGCTGAAGCTCATCTCTATTTATAGCCCAGCACTGACCTGATACCAAAGAAGGAATTATAATTTCCTGGAGGTTAAATAGAAATGTCATCCATCAATAATTAACAGAATATGGTCAGATGATGGGTTTTAGCTTCCCGCTGAAAACAGCTGAGAAATAAAAACTGCTCTGAAAAACAACAGGGAAACTGTGAAGCAATCCTGATGATGAAACAATAGTTTGTTACAGTTGGATCACAGACAGCAAAACAAACTTCCCCTCCGTACAGCAGCTTATTGTGTCCGACCTCCAAAATAAGACTTCCTGCCTACGTCCACCTGAATGCACTGGCACAGATGGCCTCTCTTTCTGTGATGTTAATCAAAGTTGTTACACAGAGTGTGCAGGAACAGGACCATCTGTTTTTATTTGAAGATAGCATCGCTTCTGTATGAGCGATGAGAAGACTGCGAGGACACAGACGAGCGTTGGGAGGTGCAGAGGGGTTGGTTTTAATCAGCGATCTGTTCCCAGGAGCTGAAAGGCTAATATAAGAGAGAGTCACAGAGACTGGCATCATTTCACTGATGGTTTTGACCCACTTAGTGCCGTCACATGTCTTGATCGTTGGGCTCGGTCACGTGACGTGTGTGAAGCTGCCAACTGTGAGCAGAAAACAAGGCTGGAGCTACAGTAACACGAGCGTGCGCTGCAGGGGTCACATGGTACCCTTTCTGTTCACACAAGGTGGTTTTGTCTTATGTATCAGAGCAGAAAGTCACATTGCTATTCCAGGTCCTTTCTGCAGACTGAAGAGGAACAAATCAATACGGGCCTGCCAGGGGTTCGGCTTAAGGATCTATTATTACACCGCTTTGGTTGAACTGGTCCCACATCAGGGGTGCAGAGCATCTTAGTGTCCTAAATGCACAATTTAAGGGAGAACCGGTTTCAGCAAGAGAATGAATTAATCAAAGTACTCCAGATATTTATTGTGTGCAACTTTTTTGGTCGATCTTGAAACAGAGTGGAGTTTAAGTGATTTTTGTTCCATTATTGTTACAAACATTTTAATTAATCACTTTTTATCATGTTTGTTTTCATATTCTATTTTATTAAATTTGATCTTTTTCAAAAACTTACTAATCTGTTTACCTTTAATATCCTTTTTTTTTTTAAAGAGACATGAAACATTTTGTTTTTGTCCTTTCAATGTACATTGGAAGACAATGTTATTGTTTAAAGTCATGGATCCTTTCATTGTTTTGCTTATATACAATGTAAATAAGGCAAATCTTATTTATTTATACCTACAATGTATAGTAATTCTATTCATTCTTAAAGTCGTAGGGAAATCATATTTAAATGTCAAATTCTTCTGGCTTAAGTATATAAAAGTACTCTATATCAGACTATATTGCCCCAAAACTTAGGATTTTTTTTTTTTTTTTTATAGAAATTTTCTGTACGGCCAAGTGCTGGATGTTAAACTAAATCTCTTAATAGATCTAAAATTAAATTACCTGCACTGAAAAGTTACACAGTTTTGCTTTAAAAACTATGGAGTGAATTGTGATCAATTACTGTTGCGAGCAAAGAAAACATTTTTGTAAATGGAAATGTGAATAAAACGCAATCCAGAAATACAACTTTAAAAAAAAAACTTCTTAATAAAAAAACAAAAATAAAAAGGTTTTAGGAAAAACTTTGCTGTTTTCTCAGATTTTCTTTTTCCATATTTAATTTTTGAATTTATTTTCAGAAAAAAGTTTACTAATTTCATTGTTTTCAAACAGCGTTTCACAGATCCCATTCCATTCAGCTCAAGCCCAATAAAAACGCTTAAATGCGGAAAACAATTATATGATTAAAAATAATAAATTCCAAGAAAACTGTAAATTTACACTTAAAATGGCTTTTTTTTCCAGTTTTATTTCTCGATTGTACTTGCAACAATAATGAAACAAAAATCACTCCATATAAAAGCAGGACTTCACTTTTTAACTATGGAGGATAAAAAGTGCCAAAATTAAATAAATAAATACAGCATTAAATACAAATTAAATGTGTCAATAATTAATTAAATATGGAATTAAATAAATAAATGTGTCATTCATTAATTAAAACCACGTCACTAATATAAAGTGCCACAATTAAATAAATAAATACAGCGATAAACAATTAATTAAATGTGGAATTCATTAAATAAATAAGGAATTAAATATATAAATGTGTCATTAATTTAATAAAAT